ATATGATCAACCCCTTATATTTCATTCGATTAAATAAAAAATCAATTGTATTGTGAATATTAAATCGTTAAAAAAATAGAAAAATTGCATAACGCTTTAAGAATCATCTATGTGATGAGATTAGAATCATAAATACAATTCATCTAATTTGAATCTTTTCATCTAATGCACGAGAACGCATTTTAAAATGATTCAAATAATAGATGTTGGATGACATTAAAGAAAAGAACATCGATTATATTCATACGTTAAACGACTCGTTTGAATATTGATTTTTTTTTGTTTTTCTTTCATTGAACATTCGATAAAGGTAAAGGCTTTTCAATCATTTCTTCAATCACCTAACTCCTCGTTCTCTCATTTTCATCTTAACGTTGGAAGAGAAAAGTGTGGGCGTTTCTTATCTGTTGTTGGAGGATAGCATAGGGACTTTTTCCATCTGGCTCGTAACTACGGATCACGTGTCTAATTGTTCGGATAAAATGGTGGAACGAGGGCACGGTGCATAAAGTACGTTTAGCGTTCGCTAGATCGGCTGTTCCAAGGTGCTTCAGCTTTCTCCTGTTCATGCTAGTTGTATGTACACTCGGTGACCCAAGGAATAAAATTCTATTCTAACATATATTACTAGAATCAAATCTTTAATCATTTAAATGAATTTGTTCTCTAAAATTACCCTAGAAAAAGTTACCAAAAACGTTGTGTAAAGTCAGAGAAACGATTAATTATTTCGAAAAATTACAAACAAAATATATCCCTTTTCAGGGTAACTCAAGTAAATTGAATATTCATCGATATTTTACAATAATAATATGTTTAGTTTAATTTAATATTATTCCCATTTTATAATCAATTCAAACAGATTTGTTTGAACCTGTTATTTGTATAAATGACGAAAATGTATATCAATTAGATTAACTTAAGTTGAATTTTAGAAAATTCGTTGATCCTATTATTTCCATTATAGTTTTCTTTTTTTTTAATTCGTGTTAACGCGAAAAATATAATAATATAGAGATTGAAAATAGAATTGAAATGAAAATGAACAGGGTGAAAGTGAGGATATCGTGTGTTAGGATTATTTTGCATCACCCCGTATAGGCATGTAAATGCATCGTGCAGATATATTTATGCGAGAGGGTATTACGGAGAGTGCGGTACCTACGTGTATCTTGATGGGAAACACTCCCACGATTATGTGGCATGCAATGCAATTCCCTTTTGCCTTGCCCCAACAACCGGCGAGCACCCAACATCGTTTTCTCTCTCTCTCTCTCTCTCATTTTGTGTTTCATTTTCTATCTTTCTTTTTCTTTTACTCCCAACAACTCTTCAGTTCGCGTTCTATGGATGGCACCAGGTATTAACGATCTAATTAAGAATATGAGCCCTCAGGCATCCGTGAGATTTTCTCTCCTTCTCACTCTCAATCTATCACAATCTTTTTCTATTATTTTTATTTTTATTTCTCGTCATACGCGCGTTCAGAAATTTTCTTCACTCTTACTCGTGATCGTTTCATTTTATTTCGAAAGAACGAATTATCTTTTCGGTTAAAACATGATAAAAGATTTACCTGATCACGATTAAAAGTGATTATTATAATGAATGCAATTAGTTTTTGGGTTTTTTGTTCGCGTTCGGTTTAATCAAGAATTGAATTATTGAAATGTAAATTTGTCTGGAAAGTTCGTGTCGATTAAAATATTATCAGGAAGAAGGGGTTGGTTAATCAGGTAATCTGATACTTTTGCAATACTCGTTGAAGTGAACAGGAAGGTTTCTGTTTGGTATCTTCAGTAGGACAAATGAAATAGGTCCCGTATTGTTTGTACTTCAGCTTCTGTTTTGGGGGCTTTTTAATCAGGTAGTTTGTTGCTTTTTAAATACTTGGTATACCGAGTATGATAGTTTCTACTTAAATTTGATTTAAATGAGTTAACACTTCAACACTTTATTGAAAATCTATCCGAAATTTTCTGGCAAATTGGATATACAAAGAAGAAAATGAAAAAGGATTGAAAAAAATGTTTTGGGGGTTGTAGAAATGGAAAGTTTGGAGAGATCACCGGAGGAATGTTTAAGAACTAGTTGGTGGGATACGAAAAAACGGAAGACCTTTCGTCGTTCCGTAAAAAGAATCGGGTCTCGAAAAAGAATGAAGAAAAACAATAAAAACAAAAAGAGAAAGGTAGAAAGAATTGGCGAGTTGCATAGAAGAAAGAAAGAAAGAAAGAAAGAAAGGAGAAGAAGAAGAAGAAGAAGAATAAGAAGAGGGTTGAAAAAAAAAAGAAAAAAAGATTGGTAGAAAAAAAGGCGGAAGGTGGATCGCAGGGAATCGGGGCATTAGCATAAGCTAAAACGAACTAAGCGTGCCCATATAGCACAGAAATAAATAGCCTCCCATCTTCTATCTATGGGCAGACGTAAGAGGTTTAGTACGGAGCCCTTTTTCCCTCTCTCTCTCTCTCTTTCTCTCTCTTTCCGTTTTTTTTATTTACATTTTGTTCTTTTTCCTTCCTTCTACCTTACCACCAAAAAATTTTTTCTTCATCCAACCTATCATATCTTTCTCTCTGACCCACGAGAAACCAGATATATATATAAACATATTTGTTGGTGTTAAATAATAAATATTAATATTTTGTTATTTGTTAGAAAGAGAGCTTCTGTGGAATTGTAAATAAAACATCGATGGTTGTTGAGCATTTTACAAATGATTTTTGTGAATATAACCTCAAAAGGGGAATCACATTTTACGTAGTGCATTGAAATACACTAGCATATGCTTATTAAATCACTAGATATAATATATCCCTAGATAAAACGCGCCATCTACGTTGGATTGATTAGTGCCAAATTTAACACGCTTATTGTTTTACTATTTAGGTATAATATACTTATGGTTGTTGTCTTGTCAATTTTTTAATTTATTTATTCATATTTTTAATATCAATTTTAAAAACTTTTCAAGATTAAGAACATTTTCGTAATAGAATATTAATTGTTAAAATATTTATATAAATTATTATGCACAAGTGTATGCATATTTATAGATGTACTTAAAATATTTTCTAGAGATTTTTATTATATAATATAAATAATAAATTAATATATATATCAATAAAAAAATAATACTTTTAGTTAACATATCATATTATAATCAATTCATATATATTTTTAATCGATATATTTGTATACTTCTATATTGGCATATTAACAATGTTAATGTAAAAATTGTAAAAACAAAAAAAAAAAAGAATTGTTATTAAATTTTTCGATTATATAGAAGACAAAAGGTATGATATCGGTGATGGTGGTGGGTTTGGATGGTTAACTCGTTTAGCTAGGGAAGAGAAAGATGGGTTAAGAGATAGTTAGCGAGTATACTCGGACTCTTTGAACAAACCCTGTGCTTGTCATCGAAAACGAACAGAATGTGAGAGAAAGAGAGAGAGAAAGAGAGAGAGAGAAAATCAGAAAGGGATAGAATCATAGTAGAGTTGACCATCTCTCTATAGCTGAACCGAGATAGATTCTACAGATTGAAGAGAGAAACAGAAATACAAACTGAGAGAGAGAGAGAGAGAGAGAGAATTGTTAGAGATAGGAACGATGAGAAACGTATTGTCTCGCACGTTTCTGTTCGATGACGATCGTACCTACACCACTCCGTTAGTTGGTTCAAGTTGGATGACAGTTACCGTGATCTTATCTATGCGTCGATTAGACGAGCTAGACGTTGAGAGACATCCTAGCATCGAACTTCTTCCGGTTTTATACCTCGATCGATCGGTTGAATAGAAAAAATAATACTTTTTTTTAGGTAGGTCATCTACCATGTACTGATCATTTTAATCTATATATATCTTATCTAATAAAAATTAAATATATATATATTTTTTTAAATAATATAAACCTTTTTAGATAGTTTGCATCAAAGAGATAAATGTTTAGGATGTATTTAATAAAATGATTATGAATTTATTTCGTTGAAAATAAATATGTAAATTCATAAAAATGATTCGTTGATTTTGTCAGTAATCTTATAATATTTTTTCAAATTATTGTATAATATATTGATCAATTTTATTGTAATGTTAAATAATAAAAAATAATGTTACTATGATAATTTGTTCGATTGATTCGAAAAATTCTGAAATCTAGGGATTCTTTTTATCCGATAACAAAATTCCTAGATCTTTCGAAACAGTGTAATAATTTTTTAAAATTGTTAGAAAGTAATAATAAAATGATACGATCGTTTGTTTTTTGATTAAACATTTCGTGTTATTAATTTTGTAGAATTGTTGCAAGAATAAAAAGATGGCGTTTGACCTGGAGATGAGAAATAGGAACAATTGGGTATCTACTGTTACATCGTGTGTAGTATTACCAAGCCCCCAGTCGATATCGAATGCTGTCTAACCTTCTACTCTCTATCCAGACTACCTTCGGAGTTAGCAAACCCCATCGAGATAACGTTCGCATACCAACAACCGACCTTCCGCGAACGGGATTTCTAAACGTGCTTTTCGAGAATGTCAGATAGGAAGTCTGAGGAGGATTCACCTAAAGTTTGCCTCTTATTTTACTTCGATAATAGAATATCGTCTATATACCGTCATTTATATGATAAATTTAATACCCAATATATTATCGAATATCCAAAAATCAATTCTTTCTCATCCTACGATTCATAAAACTTGCCCATATAAAAAATAGGGGCAGATAGTATATATATTTATTGATATTTGAATTTTAGAAAAATGTCTTACGATAATTGAAAATATTTAATTGGTTAATTGAAGTAATCAGATATTTAAATGTTGTTATATTCAGTTTTAGAGTATAAAAAAAAGATATTATTATCAGATACCACCGTCACTGCGTATTATAAAATTAAAGACAAGATATATATATATATATATTACATAAAATATACATATTATAATAATAACATAAAAGATAAAATCAAAAGAGTATATATATTTTCTTACCTGTCGTGAAAAGAACGATAGCCTTGAGGCAACTGTATTCGGCTGTGTCAACGTGTAGGGCCTTTAGTTTTTCAACTTGTTCTTGAAAGATTCTAATGTGATCCATGAATGCTACCACGCGATCTGCCGCCATGGGGGACGCGTGTAAACCCGCCGCTGCTAAAAGTGGCGCCACGCTAAGCGGCATCGAACATTGGCTTGCATTAAGTACAAAAAGCTCGCTCCATACTAGCCTCAACAATGCAACCTGATCGGTCACCTGAAGTTCTGGGAAAAATGGTATATTCCTTGCCCATTCTACTGCAGAAAATAAAAGCCTGGCAGCCAATTCGCATATACTATCGATTCCCATGATGTTACTGCTTGCTTGACCACACGGCCCGTATCTCGTTGTTGTCGGATACGGTTCGGCACGTAATAACATGCCTATGTACGACGATAGGTAGGACCCGTTTATACCCGCGCACGATATCGCATCACCATTCGTCATTGAGAATTGTCCTGGTAATCCTGGCAACGTTGGTTGCGACGCTGGCACGCGACCCCTTTGAACAGCTGAAAATATACAAATATTTCTAAATTATTAACTAAAAATTTACATATATAAAAATTTTTATATATATATATATGTTATAACTAAAAATATACATATATAAAATGTTATTAATATACTTTTAATATATTTTTAACGACGTTATGTTACAAGTGCCGGATATATCCGGCACCTATCTAATAACTTGTGTTTACGAGTGCTGGATATATTTGATATTTATCTGATGATACGTTAGGGGTGTATTGGAAGGGTTAATATTTTTTGTTTGTTATATCGGGTGTACCAAAAAGTTAGTATAGATACGTAAAATTAATTATACATTTAAATGGAAAAGATATATGATTTTTTAATATTTCGTTTGTGATCGAATATTTATTATATTATACTTAGGGAATCATATGCAAAGCTTTATTGAAAATATATTGTATTATATTTAACAATAATATTATTATTTAACACCATGATCGGATTAATAATTTTATTTAATTAATATAGAGTATTAATAATAATTAAGGAACGTTTAATTAAATAAGAAAAAATAAATCATTGTACGTGGAAACACATAAAAATTGCCTAGTCATACTTTGTACGCGACATTTAAACGAAAGTGCCTTATTGCAAACAAGAGAAACGACACCTGGCTGACTCAAACGAATGAGAGATGTCTCCTTCGAGTGTGTGTGTGTGTGTGTGTGTGTGTGTGCAAATATTGTACGACGACAAATAACCCCCATGGAAAAGAGTCAACGAGACCGTTCGTTCGTTCGTTGCTGGTGGTAATGATGGTGGTGTGTGTGTAACAACCCATTGGTTTCGTTGTTTGTAAAAAAAAAAAAAGAAACAAAACGAACTAGGAAAAGAAGAAATAGAAAAATTAGAAAATATATTCAACAATTATTTTTCTAAAGTTTTGTATTATATAATATGTATTTAATTTTTATCCCATGGATTCCGTGAATGTTCATGTGATATATTGTAAAAGTAATCAATACGATTGGTAACTTTCACTCAAAATAATTAGACTTGTTACCATAAACTGCGTTACGATCCAATAAATAATATTTCTTAACGATCTTATAACGAGAAAAAGAGAAAGAGAGTATGAGAATGAGAGAGAGAAGAGGGTGGGGGGGTAAAGTGAGGAAACGTAGGGGAAAGATAAATAAGAAATGTGCAAATTAATTCGATTCTCTCTTAGTTATCTCATTTTATATGCACAATTAGAAAGATTGACTGTGGTTAAATAAACGTTGTTTAAAGTTATGCAATTTTAAATAATATATTTATTCTCAAATGGAAAAACTCGAGAATTGCAATTTGTTATTACTTTTTTTTTTTATATCTATTTGTATTATTCCGATGAATTTATTCTAAAGGAAGCACGAAAAATTGATTTTTTAATATTAAGGGTTTTTTTGTTTTAATTAATAACTTTATAATAACCATAGAATTAAAAATCGGTTTACATTTTTTTGTTGCAATTACCAGAAGGATACAAACATTCTATTATCACTTCCTCCTTCTCTTATATTTTTTCTTCTCTTTCTTATTTGTTTGTTTTTTTTTTAAATATTATTATCATTATTATTCTTCTTGTTCTTCTTCTTATATACCGTTTGCCACGAATCTGTTCGCGATCTCAACGTTTCTACTTTCACTTGCAATAACCGTTAAAGGTAAAATGCAACGATATAACAGTCACATGCAACACAACTGGAGAAAACATCTTCGGAAATTAATAAAAGGGTTCGTCACGATTTTCTACCAATTGATCTATGAAAACTCTATCGAGAATAGTATTAGTAATAGTATATTATTGGCCAATCGTAATAATATAAACGATTTTGATTTGAAATTTCTTCTGATAGAAATGATAATGAGATCAAAATGAAAAATGATGATAGGGAAAACTTTCTAACAACAAAAAAAAAGAAAAAAAAAAAAACAAAAAAAAGAAAGAAAAAACATCACGTAACCAATGCGAAATTATATACGAGTTGAATTTTGTTACTATTTTATATTATTCCCTTACTTTTCTTTTATTATTATATATTTTTACGTTATTCGTAATATAATTCATGATTGAAAAAATAAAATTACTTTGACAATGTTTGTAAATTATATTGCGCACGTTTCAATGTATTTTGAAAGATGATTTTTCATTTTGTTATAAAATAATCAGAAAGTGTATCGAATATATTTCGAAATTATTTATAATTCGTGACTCTGTGTGTGTGTGTGTCTCTCATATATATAAAATAAAAAATCTACCAAAGATACTTAACTATATTACGAATCATCGAATAAATTTTACAAATCATTTACAACAATTTCAAATATTACGAATATATATTTATATCATTGTGTAAAAATATTCTACACCTAATCAAATCTAACAATTCGAACGTCATATCCAAATAAAAAAAAATAATTCAAACGACATTGTAAAAACAAGAACAACTTTTACGAAGAAGTAGAAAACAAAAGGGTGTTCCAGAGAAAAAAAAAAAGAAAGAAAAAAAAGGGTAAGAAGAAGTGGTGGAATTGAAGGAAAGGGAAGAGATGCATGCACATGCACTCGAACGAGTGGGGGTACAAGTTAGTTGGAAGGAGGTTTGAGGTGCTGGTGGGAGGGGGAAGGGGAGGTGGACAGTTAGAAAGACGGATAGGAGAAGAAAAAAAAAAATAAAAATAAAAAATAAAAAGAGAGAGAGAGAGAGAGAGGAAGAGAGGATACGAGTCCTGCAGTACGTAAGGAGAAACGGCACCCTGCTGTGAAACGCCTGGATTCCAACCTTCGCCCTACGGCTAACGAACGAATGGACTCCCTTCGTATCTTCTTTCTTTTTTTATTTTTATTTTTTTTTTAATTTTTTCTTCTATCTTTGCTTCTGCACCCCCTCTTTTCGAAGTCCTCGTCCATTCCCTTTTTAGTTCCGCGAGAGAATGAAAATTATGTTTGTGAGCATAAACACACACGATTCTGTGATACTTTTATTTTTCAATTATTTTTTGTTTAAATATATATATATATATATATAATAATAAAATATATATAATATATAAT